GCCCCCGGGGCGGGGCGGGCACCGGCACGGAGCCGTCACCGACGGCCGACGCCGCTCAGCTGGATGCGGCGGAGGATTTCGAGGTCCTGGAAGAAGAGGAGGAGGAGGAGGAGGAGGAGGAGGAGGAGGACCTGAGCGAGCTGCCCCCGCTGGAGGACATGGGCCGGCCGCCGGCCCCGCCGCGGGAGGACACCCAGCCCCCGGAGCAGGACGGGGGGGAAGCGGCTGAGGACCCCCAGGAGTGGCTCGATGTTTTGGGTAAGAATCGGGGCAGGAGGGCGCTGGGCTCGCGGGGCCTCATGGGCTTCCCCGTGGCTCTGCCGGTGCTTCCTGCACCACGAAGGCCAGCCAGGAGCCAGAGCAGGGCGGTGGGAGTCGGGCTTTTCCCTCCCCGCTATGGGCTGATGTGCCTCCGGCTTCTCCTTGCCCAGGGAGTGGCTTGCTCAAGAAGAAGACGCTGGTGCCGGGCCAGGGGGTGGACACCCGTCCCCGCAAGGGCCAGGACGTCACCGTCCGCCTGAAGGCCACACTGGAAGATGGCAGCGTGGTGGAGGAGAACCCTGCCCTCACCTTCACGCTGGGGGACTGCGATGTCTTGCAGGTCAGGGCTGGGAGGAAGCTTGCCCCGCTTTATCGCTGCCTTGTTTTCACCCTGCGGGGCAGGACCTCGCCTCGGGGGGCGCGGGGAGGGGTTGGGGTCAGTGACATCCCTGGTTTTTTGGGTCGGAAGCAGCCCCTCTGCCCTTGCTTGTGCTCCCTCCCCACGATGTTGTTCCCTGTAGGCTCTGGACCTGTGCGTGCAGCTCCTGGAAATGGGAGAGACGGCTTTGATCGTGTCAGATGCAAAGTACTGCTACGGCGCGCAGGGCAGGTGAGCGGGGAGGGCATGGGGTAGAGCAGGATGGCCCCAAACAGGGCTCTGAAAGCTGTCCCCTGTGCTCCCAGTGACATCCCAGCCAAGAAGCCCAGCATCTGTGGGCAGAGAAACCCTGCTCGCTTGTCACGTGCAGGGGACGGCAGCGTGTCCTGCCTGGGGGGAACAATCTGCATCACACCCTGTCCCAGGGAGCTTCTGTGGCTCTGATTTCTGGGCCGTGGTGCTAAATCTATGTGGCCCAGTGGCTGGTGGAACTGGCAGAGGTGGCAACGGTGCCACGGCTTCGTGCCCCTCTTTGCGCAGGAGCCCTGACGTCCCACCCAACGCGGCCCTCACCCTGGAGGTGGAGCTGCTGGCGGCTCGGGACGCGCCGGACCTGGAGCTGCTCAGCGGGAAGGAGAAGATAGAGCTGGCCAACCGCAAGCGGGAGCGCGGCAACTTCTTCTACCAGCAGGCAGATTACGTGCTGGCTATCAACTCCTACGACATTGCCCTCAAGGTCATCGGCTCCAGCTCGAAAGGTACTTGCTCCTGCCCCGGGCGAGAGCTGCCTGGGCTCCCTTCCCCCTGTAACCTGGCTCTGGGGTCTTTGCAGTCGACTTCAGCCCGGACGAGGAGGCTGAGCTGCTGGACGTGAAGGTGAAATGTCTCAACAACCTGGCAGCTTCTCAGCTTAAATTGGACCATTATGAGGCGGCGCTCAAGTCCTGTAACCTCGTGCTGGAGCACCAGCCGGGGAACATCAAGGCTCTCTTCCGAAAGGGCAAGGTGAGGCAGGCGCTGCTGTTCCTTCTCCGCGGCACGGCCGGGCCCAGCCGTGGCAGACAGAGCGTGATTGAGCACGGCTCAATCCGTATCTCACCTTCCAGGTCCTGGCTCAGCAGGGCGAATACAGAGAGGCCATCCCCATCTTAAAGGCAGCGTTGAAGCTGGAGCCTTCGAACAAGGTAGGCTGCTGCGCATGCCGCCAGTGATCCTGCTGAGCTGGGTGTCTGCAGGACGCTCTCCTCTTGTCCGTGGCCCTGCAAACCTCGGCGTCCCCCATGGAAGGCTGAAGGGAGGCTGGAAATAGCCCCCAGGGCCTGGGCAGCCGTGGGGTGATGCACCCCGTGGTGCAGCATTGGAGCTTGGCTGGACTGGTGGGTCCCTTATCTGTGTTGTGAGACTCCCTCTTTGCCCTTTGGTCCTTGCGGTGGCAGGACTCCCTGCCAACCCATCCCTGCTTCAGCAGTCCTGTGTGTACGGGGCCCTGGCTGCTCCGGCTTCCCCAGGTGGCTCCAGTGGCTCGTGCCATGGCTGTGGGAAGTGGAGCAGAGCCGAGTCCCTGCAGACTCGCTCAGCAGCCCGGAGCGTGATTCACTGGGCGGCGGGAGCAGCCCAGACCTCGGTCCAGCGCCCAGGCCAGGGCGAGCTCTGGGTCAGGAATTTCCTGTCGGTTAATGATCAGCTGCAGGACCAGAGCCTCGGGAGAAATCAAAAGCCAGTGCCAGGAAATGGCCGCAGCAGGAGCGAGCCTGGGGGAGAGGCAGGGGAGGTGCTGCCTGCGCAGGGTCGAGGTGGGGGGCTTGGTTCTACAGGCGGGCTTTAGTCCTCGACTGGGTCTGTCGTTTTAACCGCCTCTTTCCTGGACGATTTACCAGACCCTGGTGATTCCTGTCGTGTTCCCTGGTGCCTGAAGGTCACGGGTAGGATGGGGCACTATGGAAGCTGGTGCTCGGTGGCCCCATGGCTCCTGGTCTGAGCTCACCCGTGGGGAGGGATGAGCAGGATCTCAAAGGCTTCGCTTCCCTGGCAAGTTTGGGTGGGAGCTGTGGTGAGTGAGCAGCACAAGCGACGCAGGCAGTGCCGGGAGCAGCTCCCCCTGTGCATCTCCGGCACGTCACTGTTGGCGGGGCGGCTGCTCCCCAGCCCATTCGAATGAAGCTTTTAATTGGAGAGGGGTGAAAAATCAAAATGCCCAGCAGTGACGTTACCAGTGAAACCACAAGTAGAGCAAATTACTGGCCTCTCCGGCTGGCTGCCGGGACTCCCAGGGAAGTGGCGGTGCCGCTCCGGACGGCAGCGTTAAACATGCATCGGTGAGTCACGGGCTACGGCTACTGGTGGTGAAAACAGGCTCGAGAAATGCTCGGCTCCACCTGCCTCGGACGAGGAAACCTGGGTCTCTGGGGCTGTCGGCACCTTTCAGCTGTTACAGACCATCAGCCACTGGGCTCCCTTCTCCTGACCCCTTGGAAACGCACATTCTGGGAGCAGGAGGAGAGGCTGACGTTTGTCCTACGCTGCCATGCCAGCCCCAGTGAGCTGGGGGTGCCTGCAGGCGCTTTGCTGCTTTGCATCCTCTGGACATCCAAAGCCTCATGTTCAAGGCAGCGGTGCCAAGTGTGGCATGGTCTGGTGAAGTCCTGGCCGGTCTCTGGGCGAGCTGACGTGAGCCGGAGCCGGTGTGGGTGGCTGGTGATGGTGCCGGTGTTTCGGGGAGGCCGCCCAGAGCGTGTCGTCCCCAGCAGAGGGCACAGCATGGCCACAGCACCCTTCGGGCCACCATGGCTCAGGGAATGGCTGGCGGTGCCCTGCTCAGCTCACTGGTGCTTCTCACTGCTTTTTGGGAGGCTGTGAGCTCCGCGCAGGACGTAGAGCTTTCTCCTGCAGCGCTCCCTCCAGCCCCAGCCATCGCTGCCGCTCGGCACAGCTGGGCAGGTACCGACACGCTCCCGGCTCTTGCTGCAATCCTGCTTCTGACCGGGCTGAGTTTAAGCCGGCTTTCCCAGCCTGCTTCCAGATAGAAAAGTGGGAGAGCTCGGGCACGTCTGTCCCCAAGGCAGAAACTTTTCCATCTCAATTAAAGCAGAAAATCCTTTTCCCGATGTCTGGCATCAGCCCTGGACTCTGCTCCCCACTGCCAGGCAGGGAACAGCTTGGGTGGCCAGCAAGGGCAGAGGGGCACTCAGACCCACGGGGCACCCAGCCTGGGTGACCGACACCAGCCTCGTGCAGCCCCTCAGTGCAGGGGAGTGGGGCAGGACGAGGCCATCAGCCCCCCCCCGGCTGCTTCTGAGCTGTTCCACAAAGCTCTTGCACAGCCCCCGGGTGATCGGACCTGTCGTTGGTGGCACTGTGGTCCCCGTCCCCTCCCCTGTACTGCAGGGATGGCGCAGGGCCGATAACTGCAGCGCCGCGCTCTCCTTCCCAGACCATCCACGCTGAGCTCTCCAAGCTGGTGAAGAAGCACGCGGACCAGAAGAACGTGGAGACGGAGATGTACAGGAAGATGCTCGGGAATCCCAGCGCTGCCGGAGCCCCGGGGAAGTGCAAAGACAAGCTGCCCTGGGTAAGGGCTGGTGCTGACCCTCCGGGGGGGTGGCAGAGCGGGTGGGGGCCACCCCTGGGGCAGGGAGTGCCGGGCTGGGCACAGGGGATGTGGTAGCGTCCCCCGGGGGCCCGTGCTCTGGCAGCCGTGCCAGGAAAGTGCCGATAGCTGTGGCTGTGCTCCTGGCTCTATCTGATGGGTGCCAGCGATGCCAGCTGGAGGCATCCGGACTTTGCTCCCAGCTGCTGCACTCAGGAGCCCGCTGGCTGCGCCGGTGGAAAGCGCCGTCAGCTGGGCCCGCGGCGGCACACGCTGTCCCCGCGGACGTGCCGGCCACGCGCTGGGCAGAGCCGATGCAGCACTTGCCTTTTTGGGCTGCGTTATCTCGGATGCGCGTTGGGAGCTCGGTGCCGCCCCGTGGCCCTGTGCCAGCACAGGCAGGGCTGCACGTCCCTGCTGCCGGCAGGGCTCGCGGCACATCCCTGCTGCTGGCGGGGCTCGCGGCATGCCACGTGCATCCCATCACCTCGCCGATCTCTCCTCCTCAGTCCATCCCCTGGAAGTGGCTCTTCGGTGCAACAGCCATCGCGCTCGGCGGCGTGGCCTTGTCCGTGGTCATCGCGGCGAGGAACTAAGGATGGCGGCGGGGCGGCCCTGCGGCACAGGACCTGCACCAGGACGTGCCACTCTCCTGCCAAGGGGCTTCCCCGGGGCTGCGCCGACCCCTCCCCACGGACTCGCAGTTGCAGAAATATGGATGCTTTCTCTGCTGGAGGTGCTGGATCCCCCTCCCGGCATCCCCTGTATCCCTCCCGGCGCAGGCGGAGCACGGCTGCGGGGACGGAGCCGCGGGCAGAGCAGAGACCTCCGAGCACCCTCCCAGGGCAGCGGGGGCTCGGCCCCCAGCCCCGAGTGTGTTGAGGGGAACGGGAGCTCCTGCGCACCGGTACGCCGTGGCTGTCCCCAGCCCGGTGAGCCCCCGTGGGCGCCGTGGTCCTGCCGCCATGGCGGGACGGGCAGGGGAGGCACGTGGAAGGACCACGGGCAGGGTGGTTTCTGCAGCTGGCCCGGCTGCGGGAAGGGAAGCGGCCCAGATGTGCCCAGGGGCATGTGCAGCGAGATTCTCCCAGTCCTGGGGGGCTCGGCCCTCCCGCAGGCACCCGCTCCCCTCCTTGGCGCTTCCCCGGAGCGTGCCATGTCCAAAGGAAGCCAAAGAAACCCGCAGCGGGTGGGATGCGGGAAGGCCACGCTGGAGGCCTCCCCTCCGGGCTGCCCCTGCGGGTCCGGGCTCTTGGGGGTCCCGCTTTGCCCTGCAGCTCTCCCCGGGGCCCGCCGCTGCCCGGGTCCCAGCTCTGCTCACGGAGGGGGGTTGTAGCACTGTCCTCCCACCCCAAACCGACTGTGAACCTCCCAAATAAAGGACAATTCCTTCACGCCCGGGCCTCTTCATTGCCAGCGAGGGCTGGGGGGATGCTCCTCTCGGCTGTCCCCCCATTGCCACACACGGGTGGCCGGGAGCGGCTGTTTAATTTGGGTGCGGGGCGTTAATTGCGGACCCCGCAGAGCTCCGCCGCAGCTGTGGCAGCAGAGGCCTGGTGAGCGTGGAGCCGCGGCCTGGGCTCCCCGCAGCCCGGGCTCCCCGCAGCCCCCCCGGGCCCTGCTGTGGGGGGAACCCGGGGCCTCCGGGCCCTGCCCGGGGGAGGCGATGCCCAAGGGGGAGGCCTGGGGGGGCCCCGCAGGCCCTGCCCGGGGGGGGAGCCCGGGGTCCCCAGGCCGAGCCCGGGGGTTTGTGCCCGGGGAACGGGGGATGCCCGCCCCGGGGTCCTCCAGCGCCGGAGGGCTGCACCAAACCACCCTCCCCGTCATGCCCCGCGGCCCTCGTTTGCATATCCCCGCCTCCTCTTCCCTTCTCCCAATCCGGCTTGGCGACCGACGGGGCTCGGCCAATGGGAACGAGCGCTGCCCACCGCCTCGCCCCAGCAACAGGAGCCCCGGGTGGGCGGGGCTGGAGGAGCGACGGTCGGGCGGGTCATGAATAATGCATGAGGGGGGCGTGGCAGCGGCGGGAGGCCCCGGCGGCCCAGGCGCGGAGGGGGAGACGGTCCCAAGATGGCGGCGCTGCAGGCGGAGCGCGGGTACGGGCTGTCCTGCGGCCGCCTCGGCCGCGGCACCCGCGTCTCCGTCTTCCACGGCAAGCTCACGGAGGGCGCCCTGCGCGC